GCCGGTGCCTTCGAGCCGGCACTGGCCTCAGCTGCCCCAGTGGTGTCGCCCTCGTCGTGGACCTCCTCCTCGAGCTGCTCGTCCTGCTGCTCGTCCTGGGCGGCCTCCTGCTCGGCAGGCGGGTCAGTGCTTGATCCCGCGCCTTCTGCCTGAGCTGTCCCCGAAGGGATCGGCTCTTCCACCACGACGCCGTCGTCGCCTAGACGGCGTTGGTCGTTCTTTCGCACCCACACCTTGGGCACGAACTCGAACCAGCGCTCTCTTGCGAAGTCCATCACCTTCTCTGCGGTGCTTTTAGCCTCCTTGGACTCCCAGTTGCACTCCGCGCAACCACCGCATAGATATCTCCAGTTGTAGCCGTCGCAAAGGTGAAGTAGACTCGCTTCCACTTCGTACGTCTCTTTTATGAGATCGTACATGATCTTTGCATTCGAGACAGACCTGTGTCTTCCCGATTTGCAAAACATAAAGATCACGCACTGCTCGTTCTCCTGGATGAGCTTGTGCACGGCCGGCACGACCTCCTTCATGAACGCCACCCATTTTCCGTTCGTCTTCGGGTCCAAAACCATGGCTTGCACGTTCTTGGGGTACGTGCCTAAGTGGTCCCTGAGGGACTTGTCCTTGCCCGGGTCGTTCATGTGCCGGCAGTCCAGAAAAAGGATCTGCTCCGTGGCGTAGTCCCGGAAGGACTCAAAGTTCTGGCGCAGGCTTTCCAGAAGCGTGTCCTCGTGGGCCTCGTTGTTCAGCGAGAACTCGTGCGACTGCCCTTTTCGCATACCACGGATAAGTTCCGTGAGTCCACGGTAGGTGCCGCGCCCACGTTGGCAGGTCTCTAGCTTCTCCAAGCCCAACGTGACCACCAAAACGTTCTTCCGCTGTCCTTCTGTCTCCTTCACCATCTCGGACAGCATATACGCCGTGCTGTCCTTGTCCCCTGAAGGGATCAAGGTTTCTTTCTTGCGTGCCGTCCCGTCCCTCAAAGGGATCGAGAAAGTGTTCTTCTCCTTCTTAGATGTCCTCTTAGGGATCACCTCCGGATTCACTGCAAACTTTCTGTGCCTCTCTGTAACGTTCGCCCCAAACTGGCTCACGCGCAGGAGGAGGAGGCCGGTCTTCGAGTGCCTCGCCAACTGCAGTGCCCCGGCGTAGCCCGAGATTCGGCACTCGCCGCGCCTCAGGTCCTTGATCAGGCCAAGCTGGACCTGATCCTGCAAGGACAGGAGGCAGAGCACGTCCGGAGAGTCCAGCTCCACGCTGGAGAGCTCTCCCTGCAGACGGGTGCTCCGGCGAAGGCCTCCGCTCTCCGGCATGATGCGGAGGGCGAACGGCATTGCGAACTTGCCCGTCGCTCGGGCCGCTCCAATGCCCTTGAAGCTCGTGCCGCTCGAGCGCACGCTGGTGAACTGCAACCCAAACTTTGCCAGGACCTTTGAGGAGTGAGCCCTCCATTTTGTCCCGTGGCATGTCTGGTTGCAGCCCTCGTCCAGCATCACCCAGACGTTTTCGTGGTCCTCTAAGGGATCCACGAGCTGGAGTTGCGGCTCAGCAATCTCCTCGTCCAGGGGTGCAGGCTCACTGTCTGAGCTCTGCACGCTCTTCGGGCTGATGTCTCCTTCGAGATCATCTCGCTGAAGCTGCCCCACCAAGGCTGTGAGGGTCAGCTTGGTGTCCCCTTCGGGATCACCACTCTTCCCCGCCGTCGCCACACCGGCGAACTTTTCGCGGCTTCCCCAGCCCTTTCCGCTGGGAGGAGACGCCGCCATGGCGTCTCTAGCAGCTGCTTCTCTCTCTCTCGGGCCAGCTGCTGCTGCGGCGGCGGGCGAAGCGTGCTCACGAGGCTGTGCACTCCTACGCTCTCTACGTACGGGGGAAAACGCAGGCAAAGGTGGGGGCTCTACGTCCTGACTAGACCTAGCTACATCAGCGGCCCTACCATGTTGCATGCGTAACTTCGTCTGCTCTACAACCTGGTCCATCGCATCCTCAAGGCAACTAGACAACTCGGTTGAACTGACTTGGTCAACTTTCAACAAAAACTTGTCCATGTGCTTGAAGAACTTCTTTACCACCTCACCTGCCTCAAACTTCGTAAAGTTGTACTCCTCCAGCTGTCTCCTCGTGAGGTTCTGCACGAGTGGAGACTGCTGCACCTGCTCGGCGAGTCCCTTCTGCTCCTTAAAGAGCTTCTGCGGGATTTCCTCTACCACAGTGCAACAATCAAGACAATAGGTGCGGTGTACCGATCTCGTGCTGTTCCTGTTGTCCGTGCGCTTGTGCTCGCACGTGAGTGGGTCCTTCTTCGGTACAGCCTTTGGTCTCGGGTTTGAGGTCCTGTTACCGCACAACATGCAAGTGGTCTTGATTACGTGCGCATTGCTACCTGCTTTGTTCAATGCATGTGCGGGACATCCTCCAACGCACGGTCCTTTGGGATCCGGCTTCAACAACCCGAGCTTGCTCTTAGGTGCCTTCTCAAGGGTCACCTCCTTCCTAGCCTTCTGCAGCGAGTCGGCCTCCACCGGCAACGTGGCTGCCCTAAGTGTCGCCCTTCCACCGCCAACCGGTGGAACCTCAAAGTTGCGATACACCCAGACAAGCCATGCTTCTAGCATGGTGCTCGGCTCTTTCTCCTTGAGGCCCCAATGGTAGTAATCGGGGTGGTTCTGCAAAACCTCAAGGTAGGTGCTACCCCTATGCATCCCGAACCGAAACACCTGGTCGCTGCCGTCAGGGTACTCTATGGTATCCCATTCCGTGGAGGGAGCACCTTGCGACGCAAAGTCGTCCAAGAGCTCTTCGTCGGACTCTTCAAAGTCAGTCTTGTCGAAGAAACCCATGTACGCCGCAGGCTCCGTCTCAGAGTCCTGACCCAAGCTAACGTAGTTCGCTGTTGGCTCCGGGTCAAAGCTTTGACTCTCGCTGTCGCTCTCGCTGGGGCTAGCGATGAAGTCACAGGTCTGTGTGGATTTATCCATCACACGCCTGACCTGGGCAAGGTGTGCCACTGCGGGCTTTCCTGCACCTTTCCCTGGGCCTGGGCATTCCTTGTCACCAGCCCAGTGGCCCTTTCTGCCACACGTTTTGCACGTGCTTCTGAGTTTAATCTCATGAAGCTTCCGTCTCCTGTCTTCAACAGTGAGACCAGTAGATCGCGGCCGATATCCATGTGCACTCCTCTGCATCACAGATTTTCCTTTACCCTTAGCCTTGGCCCGCGCCATAAAGGCAACGGTCTCGCACTGCACGGTGTCTGCGAGAAACGCCAAAGCCTCTTTGTCTTCCTCATCGAACCCAGCGCCTATAAAGGCGGTGAAGACATCAAGCTCGACGTCCCTTAGGGAAGCGTCGGCCGACTGGGCAACACACGCGGTGTCCTCTTCCTTGTCGTACACGGGGAGCTCTTCTCCGTGGTACGCCCAGTCCTGCCCATCACCGTCCTGGCCGTCCTGGTCCTCTTGTCCTGCCAGGTAGGCTGTTCCGTCGTCGTCTTCCTCGGCGTCAGGGTACTCGAAAAGGTCTTCCACGGCCGAAAGGTACGTGTAAGCAGTCCCTTTCTGGGATCTCTTTCCGTATCCTTTACCTTTTCCTCGGTCTCCCTTCCTGTGGAAACCTTTCCCTTTGCCAGTTCCGCCTTTGGCGGATGGCTGCTTTCGTTCCAACGTGTGGATACGATTATGCATGCGAATCAGCGATGTCTCAGCATCCTTCGTCGCTGTGCTGCCTGCCATCGAGGTCAGCACCATGAGTCGCTCTTGCCGGGTGAGCCCGCTGTTGTCCAGCAACAGATCTGTCAGCACCGCTTCACTTATGTGAAGGGCCTTGTCTAATTGCTGAAGCTTGCGTAGCCACCGCTTGCGGCGGTCGATGTAGGAGATCATCGGCTCTCCCGGCTGTCGTGACAACATGCCGCCGACTTGGGTCCCTAACCGATAAAGTTCTTTCGTCTCTTGTTCCGCCAGAGGGAACAGGCGTTCTCTAACTGCCTCGATCACCTTGGGGATGTTTTGACTCGAGAACAAAACGTCGGTACCCAAATCCTCTGCGACAATGTATGCCTCGCTCCTTAAGGAGTCGAGGAACTTGGACGCAAGGTCGGATCTATCCTCAACCTTGGTCTGCTTCCATCTCGTCATAGCTCGGAACTCCCACTCGTGAAAGTCACGAACGGTTCCGGCGTAGACTAGGAAGCCAAACTTCGTCAGGTCTGTGTCCAGATCCTGGTGTGGTCGATATGCCAGCGATCCACTAGCCATGGCGACCACACGCCCGCGCAGGGGGCGTACTATTGGGCTACGAGCTCTGGTTCTCTTAACCGAGAGCTCCGCTACCAGTGCGAAGACTAGTCACTTTTCCGCTCAGCCGTAGGCTTGAACTCAAGGGGCCCCTGCGGTCAAGGGGTTGTCTCAAGCTGTACAAACTCTAGGTACACACACTGTACGCGCTGCAAAACAGGTTGATTTCACACTATAATATACCATAGAAGGGTTAGGATAATCATATTCCAACTTTCTGGCTTTTACCTTAAGAGTAACCTAGGAATAAAAAGGGTGTCCTTTCTGGTTAAAGGAGGTTTATAAGGGAACCTACACCCTAAAAAGGGAATAAGGGCCCACTCTGGGTCTTAGTCGTTGAAGAGCTGTCGATTTCAACAGTCCCCAAAATTACGTACAATTAGGGCTCCATATTAACAAACAATATGGGGAATCAACAATTATCCCAAATCGATACCTAGGGAGGGTTTCGGAGAAGTTAGGGCAATTTAGGGATTTGAGGGTTTAGGGGTTTGAGGGTTTACGGGTTTATGGTTTCAGGGGTTTAGGGCTTTAGGCTTGTGCGGCTGCAGGCTTCTTTGGTTTTGGAGGAATATTGGGGTTGTGATTGTAGGTGTAGGGTTCAGGGCGCCTGCTGTTTAGGGCTCTGGGCTCAGGAGCTTACTTTTTGTCGGCGGTTGCCTTTTGCCTCTCAGTTTGTTGCAAGCCCCTGTGAATGCAAAGCGGTTATAGGTTGGGGATAAAGAACCTCTCAACAAAGTCCCGTTTAAGAGAGCCAGAAGTGAGGGGTTAGCAAGGGACCTGTTCTGAGGGGTCCCCCCAATGCTACCTAGGAGGTTTGGGACAAAGAGCAGAGGATTGAACCTGAGCCCTAAACCCCCTAAACCCCTCGGGGCACAACGGTGCAGGGCTCACGGAAAAACTGCCCGGGCTTTAGGGCACCCCAAACTCTTCACAAAAAGGAGTGAGGCTTCTTGGCTTCAGGGTTGAGGTTGGGTCTTGCAGAGTTTCGGACTTTGGCCTGTAATGATTACAGGTGTTCCTGTACTAAAGGCAATAAATGGAGAAAGCCCCTAAATCCTAAACCCTGTTGCCTGAAGAGCCTTGCCTGGTATCGGACACTTTCCTCGATCTTTGTCAGGGTCCGGTCCAAATGGTCGTTGCCTCTTGCGAATCTCTCTGAAATGACGGTTTGCTGTTTAGGGCAATCAGGCTTTCAAGTGATAAACCCTAAACCCTAAACCCTAAACTGGTTCAGAACTGACGGAATCGGTCTTACATGACCGCATCGGGTCTAGGGCTTGAGTTTCAACTCTAGCGGTTTAGGGTCGTGATGTGACGGAGTCTCTCGCAAACGACGGTGTGGAGTTTAGGGTGCCGGAGTTGGGGGTTTTAGATGACGGAATACAATTTTGACTAAGGCGAGGCTTTGTTCAGCTTGCTGCTGGCTTGCCTACACGAAGGTCCATGGAGTGAGTAAGCCTGAACCACTTGGAGGTTCATGGGTAGTTATAAGTGGGGTTATAAGTCCCCTAATATAGGTTATAACCAGAGCTATCCTACTTATCACCCTACTTATAACTACTCATGAACCTCCAAGCAGGCTGTAACATCCAAACGCCACAGATTGAAAATCCAATTTGGACATGCGCACGCGCGCACACACGCACGGACACAACATGTACGTTCCTTGGCTTAACACGTGGGCCTACATAGTACGAATGGTTTTGCCTCAGACTGTCTGCGAATAGTAAAGGATGAGTCTTGTTACAGCTCTTAGGACTTAGTATTCTTGCGGGGGCAAGTGATGCACTCAAGCTGGGACCCGATAGCTTGCTCATATTCATTAATCGGAATCATAACCCCTAAACCCTAAAGCCCCTGAACCCTAAACCCCACAAGCCCTAAACTATCCCCTGAGCCAAACCCTGGAAGACAAAGGTATCTACAGTAGAACCCCAAAAGTTGGAAACCCATTAGCCTCAATCCTGAAGAGAAATGTATAGGGAATCCCAGCACTATTTGGCCTTAATCCGGTTTCCAACTTTATGAGATTTCCTGTAAACCGAAGCTCTATAAATATAATTAATATTTAAGGAACCCCCACAATAGTATAGGACATCATTTCGGGCCCTGCAGTATCTAATTCGAAGCTCTGAACTGAAGTAACACCGAGGGCCTCCAAACCACCTGAAAGCCCTGAGAGGCTTCGACCGCCTCTATGCCTGCTGTGACTACTACGGTTGATGATATAAATCCTGAAATACCTTAAGGACCCTAAACTATGGGAATTATGGTATATTCCTTATTATGGGTAATGCAGGATATATATATATATATATATATATATATTATCACCAACCGTATAACCCTACTGGTCCAAGTACCCAACTAGTAGGGTTTCAAGATCCAAAAACCAGTCAGAGTATGGATTTTGGGATCCGAAACCCTACCAGTTGGGTACTTGGACTCTCCGGGTAACTGTTGCTAATAGCTGAGCTACTGAAGTTTGTACGTAAATACTTTCTACTGCGAACTATCAACATCCTCCTTCCCCTCCCCCTCATCATCATCATCATCATCATCATCCCTAACAGCGGCAGCATCAATATCGGCATCAGCACCAGTCTCGCAACCACCATCAACACCAACAGCGGCATCATCATGTTCGGTATCATGTTCTTCATCATCACCATCATCGTCGTCTGCTTCGCCCTAGTCATCATCATACAACCATCGCAGCATCATGATCGCATCACCACCACAGGACCACAACCGCTGCTATCATCTCCTCCACGACCACAATCTCAAGATATACAAAAAAGACCAGAAACGAATTCATAACAACTAGCAGCCGTATGACCAGCAAAGTGAATTCCAGGGTTCAGAATTCTCAAGGTGAGCGGCAGGCCTGGACAACTTTAAGTTAGGTACTGCCCACATCCTGCAAGAGTCCATATCAAGGCTTAGGATTTAGGGTTTAGGGGTTTTCATATAAATGTCTAGTTACAAGAGTGGGGGCAATACCCGCCCTTTAGGCTAAGGCGATTACGCAATCACCAGGCCTATCTCCAACTACACCCCAAAGCCGCAACGCACGACGTTCGGTCTCCGGCTGCGCCACTGCAGACAGTTTTGGGTGTAGGTGGAGCTTGGATAAAAACCATCTAAGCCTTCATACCCCAACCCCTATACTATAGGGTTTACTGTTTATACCACAGCATCCAACCCTTACGCTAGAACCTTTGTAGATCGTGTCAGAGGAATCCGATTCTAGTGGTTAAGGTCTCTGATATTCGTTTGCTAGGACCGACAGTGTGAATAATGAACCTTCAAATTCTCTTTTCCTCAGGACTCATACTAAGATAGGACTCATACTACGATATCGTAATAAGGCTAAACACATGGAGTTTTCTAGACTTCAACATCCATGCTTGATGCGGCCAGGACGCCTTTCCCTCTGGCACCTGTTTCCTTTTCCTGAAGCAGCTGCATTTGAGTCAGCCCCTGCCGTAGAACCTTCGGCAGGTTTGGTTTGTTGTTTTGCTGTGTGTTGTTTTACTGAGCTTCGCGCCTTCGCATGTTCGGGGTTTTTGGGGGTTTAGGCTTTAAGATGCTTTAGGGTTTAGGCCCGTGGAACGGCAGGCATAGACGGTTGTAGGATTACGGGAGTATTGAAGTGAGGCCTCAGGTTCAGAATGTAGAGCTTAAAGGCCTAGGGCTCTTAGTATTAGCGGTTCGGGGAGACTTGTTGGGTTTAGGGCTTGTTGGCTTTTAGTTGTAGGGTTCTGAGGTTTGGCATTTGTGATTTAGCCTCAAAGGTTCAGGGTCAAAGTGCCCCCCTAAATCCTCAAGGGTCTACTACAACCAAGTTCTGAACTTCGCCGACGCGCCCAGCAAGTCCAATTGAGGCAATCCCTCAATCATGTCGCTGATGAATTCTTTTAAGTTGTCCATTGCAGGCACAACTTGGGGTTCAAGTATGGTTTCGGAACTATGGGGTTTGGTCATTTCTCAGAACAGAAAAGACAACAGTTCTTGATTCCTCCCAGACCCTGATGAAGCCCTGGAGCCAATATTTTGAGCCATAGGGATAGGGTATAGTTTAGACTTCAGGGCACCCCAACCCCTGATCCCCCACCATTCACAGCCGGCTCAATCACAGCTGCGTGCTCGTAGCTTTCACACGTTCTGCATCCATCTGCCCCACTATCTGCAATGGCGACTCTCAAGGCAGATGTCCGTTACCCTAAAACCTTAAACCCTAAACAAGGAAAGGCATCGTACAAATGCCAGAGATTCTACACTCGAAATCCACCGGTAATTCCTGAAGGCTCTCCTATACCCACACTGAGTCCCTAAACCCGACGAACAACATATTTTGGGGGTATATACTGCAGATACATACTGCTCTACGATTAGCTACATATACCTATACATATATGCATAGTATAATATATATATATATATATATATGTATGCATATATGTATATATACATATCTATATATATATATATATATATATGTATCCCTAAACCCGAGGAGCCCGGAACCCGGACTCCTGATGCACCCACCCCTAAACCCGAACCCCTGAACGCTGCACGCCAGGTCCCGAAGCCTCAAACTCTCAGCACAAGGCCCTGGGTCCCCCGGTTTAGGGTTTAGGGTTGTTCTGAGAGACAGGCTTTGGGGGATGTATGGGACTAAAATTACGATCAGGAGCCGTTTGGACTAGCATTAATAATCTCTGTTCACCCAAAACCCTGAAAAATAATTGAAACCCTAAACTCTAAACCCTACAAACCCTATAAGCGCACTTAAAGACTCCGGGCCTTTGAGGCCTCCATGCCGGAGGCAGGGCACCGGCTCTAACACACTTTTCGACGTAACAATGCTGCGGAGGGTTTGAGGGTTTAGGGGTTTAGGGTTTTTGTTAAGCGCCTTTTTAGGGGTTTAGGGTTTAAGACTTTGAGGGTTTAGGGTTTAGGATTCGGATTTCAGGGAGTTCAGGGTTGAAGAGTTTAGGGCTTCAAGGGTGTCGGGCGTAGGGTTCGGATTTTCGGGAATCGGGGTTTAAGAGTTTGGGGGCTTTGAGGGTTTGGCGTTTTGTGTCCAGGGGTGTATGGTTTTGGAGCTGTGGTTTAGGGATTCTTTAGAGTTTAGGGGTTAGGGGCTCTGGGAGATAGGGCTTCAGTACATGGGAGTTGCCGAAAATAGGGGACCCTAATATAGCACCCTAAAGAGTAGGATTCGTAGGATCCTTATTCTAAGGACCCCGGAATAAGGCACCCCTAGTTTTCGGAAACTCCCACATGGCCTCTAATGGTTTGTGTACTCAGCCCTGGTGTGGGTTGCCCTAGCTTTCGGCCCGGCCCCCTAAACCATAACCTGATGCACGTACTATGGGGGCCTATAAGCAACTGCCAATGCTATTTTGAGGCCTTAGTATACTTGTAGTATTACAAAGAGCCGTACTATTTTGGGGACCCTAAAAATGGATCCCAATTTAGAAGACTATCCACATCAAGAAGTTAAATCTAAACGCTTAACACCTTGAACCCTAAAACCGTAACCTGAAACCCTACTTGGAGGATCATGGGACTTAGTAAGTAAGGTTAACGTACCTTAATTGGGGTTATAAATAGTTATAAGTAGAGCTACCCTAATTATAACCCTAGTTACTAAGTCCCATGATCCTTTAAGTAGACCCTAAACCCTAAACCTCATAGATCCCTTTAAGGAACCCTATAGATCCCTTTAAAGAGCCCTTTAAGAACCCTTGCTAAGTCCCACAATCCTTTAAGTAAACCCTGGCAGCCGAGGGCTAGGAAAATTTAGCATCGGAGTCCCGAGGCTTGGGGCTCCGTCGGGCTCAGGGTATTTGGGTTTAGGATCTGGTTTAGGGTCGGGTTTAGGGTTTAGGGTAGGGTTTAGGATTTAGGGGTTTAGGGTAGGGTCTAGGATTTAGGGGTTTAGGGTAGGGTTTAGGGTTTAGGGTCTGGGGTTTAGGGTTACTTGACCTTTCCCTAAGGGTTCATGTGCCCAAACAGTATATACTTTGGGCCCGATGTACCTATATAGGGAGTGCTTTACGGCCAAAGCATATACTATTTGGGTACATGGACCCTTAGGGTTTCATGTAAGATTTAGGAAATAGGGTTTAGTGGTTGTAGAGTTTAGGCATGAGGACTGCGGGTGTAGGGTTTAGGGTTTGGGGTTTAGGGTTTTGGGGGGTGTGGGGTTGGGGGTTTAGCGCCTTAGGGCCTGGGGCTTCTTGTCGATGGGAGTTTAAGTTTGGGAAAATTTTCTCCACTTTACACGCCCCGTTCATTTCTGTCTGCAAAGCAAAGACCCTGAACCCTAAACCCTAACCCCCTAAACCCTAAACCCCCCCTGTCGCCTCTGACCAACTTGATGGCGCAGGTGTAGTTGTCCTGCTTAGCCTTCTCTAAGGCCTGCAGCACTTTTGCTTTGGAACCGGGCTTCAGGGTTTAGGGGTTTAGGGTTTAGGGTTCTCAATTTTAGGTGGCATCGAAAACTAAGGAGGACGTAAAGTCAAAATGCCGAACTTAGAGGCTGCGAAAAGCCTTTTGCTAATATTACTATGATTCTAGTATTATTCTGAGTAGTAGTGGTAGTACCATCATCCTCTTGTTCTTATCGTTATTGTTCTCCCAAGTCTCGGTTTTATTGTTCTTAACACAACCAACCCTGATCTTCCAAGAAAGCGGAAGTTAGGCCAAATCTACCAAAGCTTGAGAGCAACAGCAGCGGCCTTACTCCACATGGAGGCTCATCCGTGGTGTTTGCGGTTGACGTCTTAGGGTTCAGGGATGACATTGAGAATGCAAAGTCCTCACCACGAGCTGGATGCCAAGGGCCGAACCAAGTACAAACCGAGTGTCCCAAAGCCATCATCAAGCAGCGACACCCAAATCCGTTAGCCCTTTAAAGACCCGCTACAAAATCTTACGCTCTTCGCGGCCACCGGGTCGTTCCGCATCTACTCTGTGCTTGGCTCCGGCAAACACCCAAGCCTAACACTTGGGTAGTTGTCAAAATTATGGTCTCTTTTGGGGGTCCCTAATGTAGTACGGCACCTAGTATTTAGGGTACCCAAAAAGGGACCACAATTTTGACAACCACCCACTTGAACACCAAACCCTACCCCGGCAGCCGCACCTTCTCCAGGCGCCCCGGCGACGCTGCCAGGTACCTCGGCAATTCTAGTCACTGGATGAAATCCTCTTCTCCTCCTCCTCCTCCATCTCCTTCTGCGAGTACTACCATCATCTACTACTACTACTACTACTACTACTACGAAGAAGAAGAAGGAGAAGAAGGAGAATGAGACTGAACATAATGATGAGCAGAAGAAGACACTGAGAAGAGCGACCGCGAGAGAGGTCGAGGCAAACCGAGGAACTTGTCCTGGCACGCGGCCACTCATCAATGCTCTTTTGCTTGATCTCAAACTCGATTTCCAAATCCCTGCATCCCGAATGAGAGCAGCAATGCTTCCAGTATGCCCAATGACAGTATTCAACCCAGCAATAAAGGCAGTAGAATGAGGGGCTGTAGTCGTGGTCGCTGTCGCCGCTGCTGCCGAAGTGTCCGCAGCAGCGGCAGTAGCAGCAGCGGCAGCAATGGCAGCAGAGGTAGTATGGGCGAGGGCGGTGGCCGTGACGTGGTTGGGGTAGCAGTTCAACCTTCCTGAGGTTGACTATGCACGCTGCAAAGAGGACAGCTGAGGATCGTCCGAAAGTCTCACCCGCTAAACTGCGAGGGTGAACACGCCCAGTCAGATGGGTTTCCGTAACTTCGGATTGCGGTTTGGGCTTCTTTGTGATAGGACATCTGATCAACAAAACCCTAAACTTCTAGGGTCTATCTTAGCCGAACCATCTCACCTAGCCCGTAACCTTAAATCTTGAATCTACGTTTCTTTCCAGCTCATACATCTTCTGGTTCTGAGACTCCGACATCTGAATCGTATCATACACAACGGCCTCATCCCGGTTGAACTCCTCACGAAGCTGGAAATTTAAGCTTCAACGTGGAGCTCATGAAAACTACGACCAGGACCACGAGTTTAGGGTGGTTTCGGGCTTTAGGGTGCAATGTCGTGGATGGAAGCTAAGGCAGAAAGACTCTTGGGCAAGGTCTGTTTACTGTTCTTGAGATGCGGGCTGCGTCGCTGCTCCCCTATCAACCTTAAGCTCAATGTCAACTGCAAAGCTCATCACTTGTCGCAGCCAAGAGGAAACCGCAGCTTGCTTTGGTCCTTTTGCAGCTGCTGCGCCAGCAAATGCACCTGAGGGCCCGTCTTTGATCTCGGAAGCCCTCGCTCTGATATGCAGGAAAATAATCCCCAAGGAAAACTACCTCTGGCCTCCGTCGATATGTCCTGAGATGGAGGTTTTGGGTCCAGAGTTTAGGGCTGAATCGAAGTCCCGCAGTTCTCTTCCCATTTAAGCTGAGATAACTCAGGAGCGCTTTGGAATAGTATTCCTAATATCCCTAAACCCCAAACCCTCAGAGCCTAAACCCTAATTCTCCAAACCCTCCACAGACGGACCTACACAGACGGAGCTTGGGAGTCTCAAGGCACTAGACTGTGATAACTTGGGAGCGCTAAGAAAAGTTCCCTGAACCCCAAACCCTTAAAGCCTAAACCCTACAATTCTCTAAACCCTAAACTGTCAGAGCTCCCTTACTCTGAGGGCCCATCTACCCAAATAGTAGTTATGCACACTGGCCTTACAGTAGTCCCTATCTAGTCCCTTTGCGGCCAAAGCATATTATACTATTTGGGTACACGGACCCTTCCCCGAAGGGTCCAAGTATCATTCTGGTATATACTCATAGGGCATTTTGGGGGTCTAAGTAGATACCATGATGATACTTGGACCCTTTGGGTTCGTGTTATAATCTAGCAGTCTCTACAGTAGAAGCCAGAAAGTTGGAACATCATTGCCCTCATGCCCTTAAGGTAAAATATAAGGGATCCTAGCACTAATCCTCCTAAAGTCATGTTCCAACTTTCTGGCATCTACTATAAACCCCAAACAGACTGAGTTTTGGGAGTCTCATGAGACCCGAGGAGCCGGCGGCAGGCTGCCGATGCGAATGCTCGGCATCCAGAAGAAGAGGTACGGCCTGGGTTCCGGTTTGGAACCGATTTGTTATGGTTTTTAAAATACGTTTTGTTATGCTTTAGGATATTGGGGCTTAAGTTTAGATCGATTTTAGACCTTAGGGCTTTTTTGGGGGCGGCTTTGAAGTTGATGGTTGTGGCGGTTTGGGATCTTGGGGTTTAGGGGTTAAAGTTTGGGGTGTAGGCTTTATAGAGCTTTGGGGTTTTCCGGTTTTGAGCGTTCCACAGTTGAGGTTTAGAGTTGCAGGTTCTCTGGGTTGTAGCTTTGTGGCCCTTCAGAGTATTCTTGAATAGGTACCTCTACAGGAACAACAAGGGAAATCTCAAAGTTTCCCAAAGTGACATGTAGTCCTGGGTTTTTGAAGTGAGAGGGGATGCAGGTTCACGGGGTGTTCGGATCGGACTTGCAGGGTTGGGTTGGGGCGTTTTCACTGTGCTGTCAGGTTTCGCGTTTAGGGTGCTGCCCAGTCAATGTCGCAGGGAGTAGTACAGTAAGTCTTTAGAAAGAACCCTAAACCCTAAACCCCTAAACCCTAAACCCCTAAACCCCTAAACCCTAAACCCCTAAACCCTAAACCCTAAACCCTAAACCCTAAACCCTAAACCTTAAACCTTAAACCTTAACATCAGGCTTGCAAAACTCGTCGGAACGCGGCTTGCAGGACATCCGGACCCTGCTCTTGCATTGGCACTTTTTCTGCCTGTTCACAAAACCATAGACCGCTAAATCCAAACCCCAATACCTAAACCCTTAAACTCTAAACTCCTCAACCTTCAAACCCTAAACCCCCCAAAACCCTAAACCTTAAACCCCCAAAACCCCTAAACCCCTCAAAACCCTAAAACCTACAAACCCCCCAACACCCAAAAAACCTTAAACATCAAAAACCGCTAAACCCCTGAGGCGAATCCCAGCTCCTGAAGCACCCTCCAGCTCCCCAGGCTCAGGTCAGGACAGCATCTTTGGCCGCCTCCCCGAACAGTTTGGGTACAAAGAAGGAGCCCTTAAAGGAACCCTGCAAGGAACCCTTATGTAATCTTTCTAGGTTAAACAAAGGAGCCCTTAAAGGAACCCCTAAAGGAACCCCTCAAGGAACCCTTAAAGGAACCTTTAAGGTAAAGGAACCTTTAAATGAACCCCTGAAGGGACCCCTTAAAGGAGCCCTTAATAACAGGCTTTCGCCTTGAAGGTTAGGCTGGACGGCACAAGGCTCGGGTTCAAGGGCCGCAGTTTAGGGTCTGAGTTGCCCTCTGAAGCTGGTTTTGTCGGGAGCTGTGCTGCATGAAGCTTCGAGCTTCGAAGAAACGGAGGAGGAGACTTCACTGGCACAGATGGGAAACCGGAGCATGAATGGCTTAGGGTTTTAAATTATAGGGTGAGAGCACTACATTCTGGAAGAGTCGCAAAATGAAGCTTCAGCTGCGCAGGCCCATGTTGCTACATGGCAATATAGTCACTCCCAAATAAGAACCCCTCTACGGCCAAAGTATGTACTAGATGTGTAGTCACGTTGACCTTATATACCCCCTAAAGGTCCCTCTCAAACTCCCCTCAATGGAACCTCCTGAAGCGAACCCTAAAAGGTACATGGAACCATACTTCCTCAGAGTCGGCACAGTAGCAAAACAGTGTCCAGCCTGACAAATCCGCCGCAATCGGGACAAGGCCTCTGCAGCTCTGCTATACTGGGAGTATATACTATAGCGGCCTTAACCATTAGATTCGAGTGTTGGGGCCCATTATGAATCACAGTATAATAAGGAACCCCCCATACTAGAATTGTAAAAGGAGCCCCCCCAACATAGTATGTGTAATTATTTAGGCCCCTATATAGGATACAGTACAGTTTAGGGTTCAGGGGTTTAGTGCTTGGGGCTCTGGAGCGGAGCTCTGAAAAGCCGTGAGCTATAGTGTCCTTATGGGCGGGGGGGGGCTCCAACGGGGGTAGATAACCTACTAATCCCTAGTTCTCCCTAGTACTCCCTAAGGTTCCCTTATGGTTCCCTAAGGATCTCTTGTACCCTCCCCCCTTGGACTACCCTCCCTTAAGGACCCTGTAAGTGAGGGTTTAGGTAGCAAGAGTACAGGATCTCGACATCTTCCCGTCTTTCACCTCCACGGACAGACTATCAGTACGAGCTTGTGGTTCAGGGCTTGAGGGTTTAAGGGTTTAGGGTTTAGGAGATCAACCCGCAAACCCCAGACCTTAAAATCCCTCAATTTACTGTGTATTATTTACATTCATATGTCTGAAACCTTAAGTGCTGAACCGGAAACTATCATTCATGTCCATGGCACCTTCGAAGCTGTACTTAAGGCTTAGAACTCAAGGTGTCTGTACCTGCGGATTCTGCTTCCATCTTTAAAATCAAGATGCGCGGTATCCCGAACAACACCATAGCATCGAAGACAAGACACAAAACTTCTGCCCCCACACCGATTTACGACACTAGGGTTTAGGGTTTAGGGATTTCGGAACAACAAAAACCCTGACCCGGAATCCTAAAACAAAAATGAACAAGGTAACCTCCAAGCGCAAAGCCTAAACCTACCAGGACCCCCGAATGGCCAGTTTCATGGAACCCTTATGGTCCTTAATGGTGGGTATTTAGGGTGTATAAGAGGCTAGTTGGGGGGTCTAGGTACAAAACCACCTTGAGTACCTTAAGACCCAATACCCAAAACCCTGAACTCGAAAACACCTTAAAACTCAAAGCCTCAAAATCCTTACTTTAACCGCTAGGGCCTCATCTACTTCGAGCCGGTCAGCGGGTGCTAGCTGGCCGCGAAAGTCCTCTGAACGCGAGCAGTAGATCTTGTAACAGAGGCGACCTTAATGATGGGAATACGTTGGGTACTGCCCCCATACAGTAACAGTCTATAATAGGGCTACTATTAAGGTTCTAAGATATCTATATTATGAATATTATCCAACTGTTACTGAGTGGGGGCCGTATACCCAAGGAATAGGGTTCGTTTGAGGGTTTGTTGAAGGGATCTAAAAGGCTTTGACCACAGGATTCAAGGCTGTACGCGCCTTTATGATGATAGTTTGAAATAAATAGGGCTTGCGGGTATCTTATAGTAGACTTCTAGAGGGACTACAGGGAGTATAAGGCCTTTCAGCCGGTGTAGGGCTCACAGTCTTGGGGGTCTTTTTCCTTTCGGCATGTTTTCTGGGGCCAGGCTTTGAACGCTAGATTTGGCTATGTAGAGTCAATGACGGGCCTCTGATGGCTCCCCTCTTGCAGGCATCACACAGCCCATCTGACTACACGAGATTCGGATCCAATAGAAGGCGCTTTCACGCTTCTTTCGCCGTTCGGAGAAACACTGCTGCCTTACCTTGTGAGTTTATCGCGACGCACGGCCCATCCCGCAAAAGAACTACCCTGACATCTTAATTCCGAGGATCTCAAGGCTATCACCAGCAACCTGAACCCGAGAGTCTTCATCTCTGACCCCGCTCCGTTGCCGGGATAAGGGGACCGCTACTTGGAGGTTCATGGGTAGTTATAAGTAGGATCACAAGACGGATAACTATGGCGATAACCTCTATTAGGGGACTTATAACCTCACTTACAACTACCCATGAACCTCCAAGTAGCAATGGGGCTGGAGAATTGCCATGTCCTTGAAAGCACTCGGAAACAGCCCTCGTGTGGAAGCTTAAACCCACAGGTGTCGAATGTTCCTTGGGGGAGTACCGGTGTAGGGGATTGGGGGGGATAGGGTGCAACGCTGTACCGCCCATGATGCCCAAGGCAACTCACCGCGACGCAAGCAAGTCCCAACTGCTCAATGCTAAGGCCTGAACCCAAATCCTTAAACCCCCGAAGCAAACAATTGATAACCCCGAACCCCAGACCCCAAGCCGTAAACCCCAAAACTCAAAACCACCCAAAATCCTGAAAACCCTGAACCCTAAAACCAAAATCCTATAAACCCTAAACTCTAATCCCTAAAACCGTAAACCCGAAATCCTATGAACCCTAAGCCAGAACCCTGAGCCCCAAAAAGCCAGAATGGAGCCTCGCTCAGCTTCGAGGCTCCGCCCTGTCAGGGCTGCAAAGGGTTTAGGCGTTTTAGGGTTTAGGGTTAAGGGGTTTAGGCTTTAGGAGTTTAGGGGTTCAGGGGTTTAGGGCTTTTAGGGTTTAGGGTTCGGGGCTTTAGGGTTTAGGGGTTTAGGGTTAAGGGGCCTATAAGGTTTAGGGTTTGAGAGTTTAGGGTTTTGATGATCACCCGGAAGATAAGGCAAGGGCTAAGCACATTCGGAATTGGGATCTGGAGGCTTTCGGTTGCGGCATGTCCAATTGCGCCTACACGTGTATGACTTTGAGTCTATTTGCCCCTTGTCTCCCTCGAAACCACAAATTCTGCTCAGTCTCTGTAGCTTAGGCGAAGATGAAATAACATACATACATGCACATAGATATGTATGCGTATGTACATGTGGGTACTAGATGTATATCTAAATTATATATATATATCTCTCTCTCTCTCTCTCTCTCTCTCTCTCTCTCTCTATTTATACACGAAGTTTCTTCCGAGGCTGAGCCTATTGAAACCTGGTCCTGGCCTCCGTGATGGTTGTGATTCGCTCCAAGAGCACCTTCGAGCAAATCTACGGACAATGAGGGGTTGAGGAGGGTTTGTGGTATAGGGTTTAGGGTAAAGGTTCGGAGTTTAGGGAATGGGACGCAAGGTCTAGGTTTTAGGCTTTGGGGCGGAGGGTGCGAGGTTTGCGGTTCAGGGTCTGGGGCGTAGGGCGCCAGGAATCCTAGGACCTAGAAGGATAGCTCAAGCCGAAACTGGGCTCTGAAGTAACCAAGAAAAATAGTATAGACTTCTATTTCTTAATGGTTCCCTTGAGCCCAAAGGGTCCAAGTATCATCATGGTATCTACTTAAACCCCCCCCAAAAATGCCCTATAAGTATATACCAGAATGATACTCGGACAGGTCCCCACAAAAGTGTTGAAGTATGGTCCTCCCAAGCACAGGAAAACAAGGTGATGTTCTTCAACTGCCACTCCACTGTCTCGGCAAGCCCAGAGCACCACAACGTGAGTTAAATATAATGTACGGGCCTCAATATAGAATTAGAATAGGGTTTCTGGTGTACACTATACTATACTTCACTAAACTATAATAGGAACCTTGAGGAATAGTATACAATTATTGAGGCTTGTATATAGACTGCTGGGTTCTGCAACGATGCGAAAGCGAGACTAAAGGCAACACGTTGCAAACGAATCAGGCACATCCATTAGCGAGAGAACCATTAACGCCCCTATAAGAGCGGGCGATACCTTGGAGACCCGACTTACCACATCCGAAACCCCAAAAACAAGTCAGATCCCTGGCACCCCCAACCCTCCAATCCGGTAACCCAGGAAGACGGGGCCCTCTTCTTGGTATGGTGTAGTTTTATGAGGAAGCCAAGACCACCAAAAAGGAGAAAGGGCCCACTGGCATCTGTGTCTTCATAACATGGGCCTTGATGCCCTGAGTTGACTTAATCTTCAGTATGTCGCCTTGGCCTGGGCCTCAACCCTAAACCCTACCTTAACCCTGAAGAACCTACCTTCTTAGGGTTCCCTATTATGATTTCCTTATATAAGTCCCTAAAAAGGTAGGTTCTTCAGGGTTAAGGTACACCCTAATATAGGTGCCTTAATAACTACCCTTGGGTGTTCCTTGTTATTATAGTATACTGGGCCCCAAAGCCCCGTTCGAATTATTCAGGCGCCTATAGTAAGCCCTAATCCTGCCCGGCACCCACCATGCAAAAGCTGAAGACGCAGGACCTCCCTACCTCCTCGAAGGCATTGTGCTAGGGTTTAGGTTTTAGAGATTCAGGGGTTTAGGGTTTAAGTTTCAGGGGTTAGGGAGGGGTTTGGGGTTTGGGGGTTTAGGGGTTTAGGGTTTAGGGACACACTGACTCAAGGCAGTATTTCACAAGAGCCATGGTCTTTGTCATGCCCCGACGCACCGGCAACACCACAAATCCCAAGGCTGAGAACATGCGCCAATCAGGCGGCCAGCAGCCACCATTCCTTGAGCCCTCAAACGCCCATGGCAGAAATCTGAGCTCGATGCCCAGAAAACATCCAGTGAACAACCACGGCAGATGTCTTTAATGGTAAGCAACCTTCTGGAAATAGATTGCCCGGATCTGCCCTCGTCAAGGGTTTCGAGTTTACACCTTACAGTAAACCCGATAAAGTTGGAAACCGGATTAAAGCCAAATGGTGCTGTAATTCCCTATACATTACTCTATGGGGTTTCCAACTTTTGGGCTTCTACTTGAATCCTGAAGCCAGTTCTCCGGTCCGCAGGTCTGAGTTCGGAACCGGGGACAGCAGAGAGGTGGGCTTGATGGGCATGAACGCCGCGCTGGCGCCCAAGATCTGGCAATCCGAGGTGAAAGGGCTTACCTTCACCCTACGCCACTAAAAGCCTATACCCTTTAGAAGACGTATTACATAGTACAGTGAGGAAAGCAAAATTAGGAACCCGAACAAGGCGACTTCTTTGAGCTTCAGGTAGGGCAACTAGACCCTGAACATTTATTGAGCTTTGAAACGTAGATATAAGTTTAGCGCACCTAAACCCCTTCTTCTATGAAGTTTAGCCGTAGCCTGAACGTGCCGATTGAGACCTTGTTGAATGTTTCAGCGTTTGTTCAAGACTGCCCTGTACACACCGAAGCGTACTTGAATGAGGAGACTTGGTAAGTAGACAATACTGGGGGTGCAGGCATTACGGGTATCCCAGTTGCCATCTATAACCTATGACCTATGAGCCAAGTACGGATCAGGACGAGCAAGGTCACAAACCCAGCGTGCGGATTCAATTCGTGAGTTGCAACGACAGCAGACTTTTTTGGCACCAGTTGCCAAGCAAGATGGTACCCAGAGGGCTTGAACAGCTGTGTCTAGTCATTACGGGAGCCAGGAGAGCCGAAACAAGGAACGGTAACATGTTGCACACAGCGAATCCTTCTTGCATCTTCACTCCAAGGGTAAAAGGAGGGACCCTTAAAACGGACCCCTAGGTATATACCCTTAATATAGCTAGTATATACCCATTATATAGCCCATTATAGGGTAGGGGTCCCCCTTAAGGGTCCCTCCTTTTCCCCCCTTGATTCACAGGTAGTCGTAAATCTGATTTTACGAGGCTTAGCCTCGCCACAAGCCATAATCAGCCACAGCACTCAAAGCCCTGAAAGCCCCTTCCTCAGCTCCCCTCAAACCCGCATCTTCCTTGAATAGATGCCATCCCCGGGCCAAGCGATGACAATGTTGAGTGCTGCTTCTCACCCTGCTTACAACCCAAAGACTCCAATATCCCTTAATTAGGGAGTATTCCTTAAATCATAATAGGGATCCTACTATAATTTAAGGTATATTCCTTAATTAAGGGATATTGGAGTCTCTGGGAATCACTTACCCATGGACCTCCTCAACCCAGGCTCGGCCTGAGCCCTGAAATTGAAAAACCTGAAGAAACCGGGAGGGGCCTTCTTTGCCTGGAACAAGGTGTCGACCTCCGAAACTGCTACCACAGCTATCTTGCAGCAACCCGCTTTCCAGCTGGCTGTGACAAGCAGGACTACCTGGACCCCCAAAGTCCCAAGGTATGTAGAATGATGGCCGTTTAAAGGTCTTGGGCCATTATTTTATATACCTACTTTGGAGGTTTAGGTATTCGGTGCGGGTTGCAAAATGCTTGAACGTTCGCTTGCTAGCTTCAACGAGCAGCGAGCAGCATGTTCATATCGCGTCGACTGAGGGTTTCTCCACTAGGGTTTAGGTTTAGGATTTAAAGGTTCAGGGTGTAGAGCCAATGCATGAGTGCGCGGTGCATACTGCTGCCGACTCCATGGCTAACAGACCAGAACCCAGACCCTCGGGAGGATCCAAAACGTAGATCCCTCAATGGGGGTTCCTACAAAGTACCCTCTAGTAGTATAGGGCCCCAAAGTAGGGGATCTACTTTCAAGATCCTCCCGGGGGTCTGGGAACAACAAAACATCCGAACTCCGAGAGACCCGAGCCCTGGATGAGTGTATGCTCCAAATCTGCGAGACTCTGAAGCATCCCAGCACCCCAAAGCCCACCCAGGACTCTCCAGATCCTATAATTCAACTCTAAACCCTCCCAAACCATAAGCTACAAACAGTGACAGCAACGGTGCTCAACTCACAATACTACTCAGCATCTCGTATCTCCTGTTAAAGAAGCCCAAACCTGAAGCATGGAATGCTGAACCCTGAACCGTGATCCTGCAAACCCCCAAAATGACATACACAAATTAACAGATCGTCGGGTTCGTACATGCAAGGCGTCGACACACCTTATCGACCTGTTCAATAAGCTTGAAAAAAAACCCTAGGCCCTAATGCCACCCCAGACCCCCGGGAGGATCCAAACAGTAGCTACTTGCTAGATCCTTCCGGGGGTCAGGGACAAAGACCACCGCCATCTGGCCTTCCGGTCTGCGTTAGACTCCCAGGCTCCCGGGTCACAGCTTTCCTGGAAGGGCTCCGGTTGAGGGCCGTAGGAGCCCTTTGGGTAAGATCCTTTGAGGTTCTAGAAGAGTCTCCATAACAGCTAGAAAGTCTAAGGGATGTGTGTTTGAAGGATGTTTTGGGGAGCTTAGGGCTTATTATCGGGGCATTAAAATGCATTAAACAGCTGGAATAAGGACTTTTACGTGTGTGGTTTTTCAGGTCTTGATAGGGTGTTGTCAAGGCTTTACATGGTTTTGGATGGGATAGGCTTGCTTTGGCGACAAGACTCGTTGAATCGAAACTCGGCCCGAGATCTGGACGAAGATGTAAGCTCTCATGCGATGTTAAGTCCAAGTCCTCTGATGGAGATCCTTTTCTTGTTTCGAACCTTCTTGAATAAGGACGCAAGAAAACCAGCAAGAAAGTGCACATGAGGCTCCAGTCAGAACTCTATTGGAGCGTGCCGAGTACTAACCCATACACATCTTCGGAAAAGGGTTGGTTTGGGGGCCGGGTTAGGGCTTACGTAGGTTTAGGGCTTAGGGGTTTAGGTTTCATAATGCAGGACACCCATGCTCGGACCCGCGTGCCTCCACGCCCCAATCGACGATGCAGCGAACGCCTGCCCAAGATTTCTCGAGAGAATTGGGATATCTGGCAAATCGCAACCCTCCGTAGATCCTGAGATCTGAAGCAGAATTTTCAAACAACCAAAAGGTGATGGAGTTGTCTCTCGGGGCTTAAAGCCCCTCCAGATCCTACGGCCAACCCGATATCTTGAACTCTAACCTTAGTTGGTGCATATACTTTCCCTAAGGGCCCATGTACCCAAATAGTATATACTTTGGCCTTAAAGTACTCCCTATGCTCCATTGTGCCCAAAGCATATACTGTTTGAGTACATGGACCCTTAGGGTTTTAAAGGAACAAAGGTAAAGGATACTTCTGTAAGACAAGCTCCGCAGACGCCTCAACTGTTTCTGGGTGTCATGGATGTGCTTGGAGCTTCATGGGTAGCTATAAGTAGGGTTGTCAGTAGGGTGGCTGTGGAATCACCTATATATAAGGGGACTTAAAACCCTACTTCTAAATTCTAACTACCTATGATCGTCGATGTAGGCCACTGGCCTGCTGCATCTTGAAGTTGCTTGGCCAGTGGCACACAGTCCTCCAGGTTCGTGGGAGGTCGCTCAGGGTTTACACGGGGGTCGTGGGATCTAGGGTTTAGGCTTGTGGGGTTTAGAGGTTAAGGTTCTGGGGTTTGGAGTTGAAGGCATAGGAGCGGAGCTCCTTCCGGGTGCTTGTCCGGCGGTTGGAGGGTCTAGAGGCTAGAATGCATAAAGGAATTGTTTTCATCTCGAGGTGCTTGTGCAGGAGTACTCGACATGCTAGCCGGGAGGGACATGTGCACCGTGAACCCGAAACCCTGAAGCACCAACACCTTCAATTTTTTGGATTGAGCCATACATCCTGAAACCATGAACCCTAAAGCCCTAGAGCCCCAAACCCAGAATCCCTAATAGATCCGATTGCCTCTAGCGACTCCCCGCCGCAGAAGTGTGCAAACGCAGTTTCTCGAACCTCGGCGACGGCCCAGAAACATTTCTTCTCTGTTCAGGGCATTTGGGGCTTTAAGATTCTGAGCTTTCGAGTATTGGGCTTTGGACTTTAGGTTCCGGCGCTTTCGGATTTGAACCTGCAAGATTCCTAGGCTTACGTCGGTTTAGGGTTTAGGGTTTATCTGACTGTTGCGCGGAGGGTTTAGGGCTTGCACGCTTACAGTGAAGAAGACTACCCCAAACCCCTAAGCCCCTAAACTTTTAAACCCCTAAGCCTTTCAACCCTAAACGCAAAGCCCATTGAACACTCAAAACCCCCAAACCCTAAAACTTATAGTCAAAAGGTTCAATCCTAGGAAGTTTATTTTAGGCTATAGGGTATGGCTTGCCGTATTTCTTGGGATGGAAGAATGCTTTAGTCCAAGGGTCGTACCAGAGAATTGTCGGGTCTCAACCTACTAACCTACTAAGTTCTAAGCGCTTTGGGCCTGCATCTTCGGACTTACTGCATGGCGTACTTCCAGCAGTCCTGGGACTGGGACGCCATCGGGCAGCCTAGAAGCCTTGCTAGATCCCTTCGAAAACCGAAAGACTTCCAAAGCTTCTTATTAAGCCGAAAATCTGAACAATCTGCCGGGAGTGAGATTTGAAATTGCCTAAGGCATGTTCCTTACCCATAGGCCCATAGTAGTTCCTTCTTGGGATTACCTTATAGAATTCATAATGGAACTTCTATGGGGTCTGCGGGTAGTTGAGGGGCCTTGGAACGATTTTGGAGTCTCTAATAACGATTTTGGAGTCTCTCGAAACTTGAAATTGGGAGCCTCAAACCACAGACACACAACCCTAAAGCCTGAACCCCCAAACCCCTAAACTGTACACTCTAAACCCCTTAAACCTAAACCCCCAAACCCTACACCCCTGAAGCCCCAACCCTCGTGAATCCAGGTCACGGCTGCCAGGATCGCTCGGCTGAGTGGCCTATCCGGGCTTCTGCAGATCCAGCCTCAATCTGAGGGAATCCTTTAGCTACGGCTTTCTGCATGGATAATTCGCTCAACTAGGGTCCCTTTTAGGGTCCTTGTTTTGGAGGGGTGCCGTACCTTTTTGGGCGCCTAGAAACGGACCCTGATCTAGAGTTGCTCTGGGGTTTCTATGATTCTGAGATTTGGCATTCGGTTTTAGCGTGGGGTTTTAGGGAGTTGGGCCTAAGGTCGACGGTGCGGGGCAAGGCGGATCGTACGGTTTTTCTGCCAATTGCCCGAACGCTAGGCCATGAACCCTACAAAGCTGTACAAGCAACCAAAAGGCACTAACCCTAAGGGTACATGTCCCCAAATAGTATATACTTTACTCCCTATATAGGTCTAGTGGGCCCATAGTATATATTATTTAGGTACATGAACCCTTAGGGTAACTATAACAGAGCCTTCGGAAGCCCCGTAGCACAGCCACGCCAAGAGCTCGATACCAAGGCTTCCCTGTAAGGACAAGGGCCCCCAGTTGAATGGAACCCTGAGTAGTTACCTATACTATGTTTCGGGTGGGTTCTCATCGTACTTACAATTATAGTACAGGGGTCCAGAATTACCTGCTCGGATGACCAGCGGATTCCACATAGCTAGTTGCCATGAATCTGTGCTCTTTCATGCAGAGCAGAGCCAATCACTGCAAGCTGATCCCTTTAGGCAACAAGTCGAGCTCTGTTCCAACAACCCGTTTGTTACAAATAAACGCAAGAGACGTCGACGTCACAAGTGGACTGCGAAAGCCCAGCAAGCACGGAACCCGAAGCATGACTGAGAGACGTGCTCTGCCCGAGCACACCCGCCCCCAAGTCGACCAGCAGTCGCTGTTGGCAAAGCGATAAGAGTAGCCTGTCGCGTGTTGGGGTCCGTTTAGACAACTTCGGATTCAAGTGGGGGACTCTTCAGTAGGACTTCGTAAAAAGGTGAAGTCCTTGAGGGTGGGGTAAAGTTGTGCTCTGGGTTTTGTGGGATGAGTCTTGTTTTCAAGTCATGGCGAAGTATAGTTTTTTGGGAACTGCTTCGAGGCTTTGATCTTTGCACGGTCTGGGATCTTGGGGGAGCAGGGCGGTTTTGACTGTGTCTTGATGGAAGCACTGCAGTCAAGCACTGCCCGAAGCCCCTCATACACAGATTGCCATATCAATCTTGCTACATAACCTTGTTACGTATTAAAACACGTGCATACGATTGCTTGCTGCGAGGATTCAAAAAGACCACCCAAAGGGCAGAAACTGATCGTTTTGTTGAGAATCCGAGCCAAACAGCCTATGCAAACACAGTCAGCAGAGTCGCACGTCCAAGTCGAAGAGGAATCGAAAGGTTCCCAAACTTCAAACCCTAAAAAACCCTTGGCCCTACTAAACAAAAAAACAAACCTGAAACCCAAACCCTGATGGCAACCTGAAAGAACCATTTAGAAACCCTTAGCCTTAGCAAGAACTTTCAACTTAAACCCCGAACCCCAAACGACCCAAAACAAGTGTGGCTATGCGAGCCAGGACGAGACGAGCTTCTTGGTGTCGCTGGAGGCGAAGATGACCTGCGCTTTTGGGTAGTCTGTTTTGGGGCTTGCGGTTTAGGGTTACTATAGGCTTATAATATACGTGTTAGGGAGTTTAGGGCTGTTTTTGGGGTTTGGGGAGTCTTGAAGATTAATGTTTGTTTTGGTGTTTTGGCTGGGCTTGAGGTTCAGGGCGGATACAGGCCGTGCTTTGGTTCCGGAACGATGGGTTTCAACTGTTCAGGCTACGAGGGGTCTGAGAACACCCTTCAGGGCCCCGGCAGGGCATGGATGCAATGGTAAGACGGACCAGCCAGGGCGTGTCTAGCTGCGGACAAGTTGCGACGACAACTGCACCTTGGTTGCTGCGTCCAGGAAGTCGACTGTGACATACTGGCCCTTTGATTTTCTCTGGACATGCTTTCTCTTTGCTCCGAAGGCAGGCGCGCGCACACCTTTTTGCGAGCTTTCCCGTGGAGAGGGTCTGCCTAGGGCGGAGAGCAAAAGTTCTCAGCCAGGGCCCTTCGCAGGTTGTGTGCGGCCATGTCGATTTTTCTTCTGAGCCTGCGAATCGAGGGTCTTCTCCTGATCTCTTGCGACCATAGCAGGGAACCATGCACCGGCTCGAGGGCGCAGTCGCTCAGCACCAGCCGCACGGGTTGCATGGGTGACTTGACACACTCTGCTTTCAGTGCGCGCCTTTGTGCCGTCTTGAGCAGTCCTCCGAGTCTTACGTTTGCGCGGTGGCATCTCACTGGGTGATGAATGCGGCGGCCGCTCAGCGTGTAGAACTCGGCCGTGAGGGTATCGCGGCAAGCCTGCAGCAGGCACTGCACCACCAGGGGTGTTTCCGGAGTCCTGCGGATAACCACGGTTCGTGGACTTCCTTATACTGGGTAGGCTCTGAACTCGTCGTTGTGTTCATAAGACCCAGAAGGACATGGCTCCCCGCCGTGAAGCCATTGTTCTCATCGGCTTGTTTCCAGCTGTGAGGCGGTAGTGCGCACACCAGTCGCGCAAACTCTCCGAGCTGCGCTTTCCTTAGCCCGCCTTGCCTAGCTGACTTCTACGTACTCGTACCTGGACTGGTAAGTTTCGTCGAACATCTCTGCACGACACTTTGCGGAGCGCCGATTATGCAACGGGAAAGCTCGGCGTGGCGCTTATCCTATGTCTGTTTGGTGCTCTTGACTAGTACGTGTGCGCCCCCCGGATCACTGCCGCCTAATTAGTTATATCCAGCTGGCAGAGGTCTTGATGACTGGGCTTGTCTCGGTGCCAAAGCTTGAGTCGAATTGGCTGTGCGGCGAGTTTTGGTGTTGTGGCAGACGAAACCGATCCTGGAAAATCCCAAGCTCCGGAGGCTGTGTCCGAGGTTGATTGTGAAGCAAGGGTTCGGGAAGCTAAGATTTAGGGCCGGGGACTTGAAGTTATTGTGAGGAGACCTTAACTTATGCTTCGGAGGCTTAGTTTAGAATGAAGGCTTGAAGGTTTGGTTCGTTTAGAATGAAGGCTTGAAGTTTTGGTTCAAGGGTATGGGGGACCTAAGCTTCAGGCCTGGAGGCTTCGCTTTGGGGTTTCTGGGGTTGTAGGACTTGAGAATCGGGGTTGCCGAGCCTTGGGAAGTAGGAGAGCTTATAGGGTTCATAGTTTCGGGCTTCCGTTTCAGGTTTTGCACATGCCAGGGGAACCCTGGGGCTGAACTGATGAGATGTTTGGCTTCAGGAGCAGGTGTTCAGGGAGGACCCGAGAGTTTATGGTATGGAGTTCCGCAGGTCCGGCTGCACTTGCGCTGCGAGAGTATGCTTGTCACAACATTCAGTAGCATGCTAAAATCCGGAACGTGAGTCGCCTAGCATCCCCACAAACCCTGTACAGGCCTGAAGACCCTAAGCCCCAAACCCCAAACCCTAAACCCAAACTCCAAGACCCAAACCCCAAGCCCCAAACCCACAGCTCAGATGACTTCAGCAGAGACTTCAGGGTTTCTCCAAGACGTGTGAGGATTTGGCTTTCCCTAAGGGTCCATGTACCTAAATAGTATAGACCTTGGCCTTAAAGTACTCCCTCTATGGGTACATTGGGCCCAAAGTGTATACTATTTGGGTACATGGACCCTTAGGGTTTGATGCCGCGAGAGGACCTAGTTCACACCATACGCCTGGTCCTAGAACTCATATGCGCGAAGTACTCCCAACTGCGAGCCTTCTAGAACCCTTGCGACGAGTTCTTGGCATTTTTGGTCTCTCCAAGACGTCGCGCGGTGTGCTGAATCAATCTTGAAAGCAATCGTCGCAGCAAGGACTCTGATGCTTCCTATAGGATCCAGTTCGACCGACGTGTGAGGGCATATCGAGGGTTCGGGCATGACATACTGTTGATGATATAAATCCTGCATTACCTTAAGGACCCTAAACTATGGGAATTATCGTATATTCCTTATTATGGGTAATGCAGGATTTATATCATCAACCGTAGTTTCACATGGGTGCTCAGGCTCAGGGCTGAGCACTAACCCTAAACCCGATGCCTCTCTTCAACAACCGGGCCCCCAAAAGTTCAAACTTTCTTCCATAAAGCCTATATATAGCTGGGTTAAAGCTCCGCCGGTCGCGAAAAATATTTAGGATACCGATGGTTGGCGTGGTATATTATGTGTGGAGGTTGAGCCACCAGAACTGTCAAGCGTTCCGTCTGGGGCAATTAAAGAGCCCTGCCTCCCAAACAAAAGCCAATTAATGTAGGGGCCTTAATAATTAGAAGAGGGTTTCGGGCCCATGATATACTGCAACTATAATAAGGAACCCCCAGAGTAGTATACGTAGTTTTCCAGGCCCCTATACTAAATCCTTATAATAGCCCTTCAAGTAGCCCTTATAGACCCCTGTAAAGGAACCCTATTCCAATTACTAAGGCCCCTATTTTACACACCATTTTCCAAGTCGACAATCCCTTGGAACTCTGAAGCCCTAAACAACCCTAAACCTGAAAATCACCCTAAACCCTAAATCTAGACCTTAGAATCATCCCCAAAGCCCTAAACCAAGCCATGAAGGCATTATCACGCAAGTTCCAAGCTTCCATAATGACCAGAAAGGGCTTAGGAGCTACAGGGTCAAGAGCCTTGTGCTCAGGGTGCATTTAAACTTGCGGTTTAAATGTTTGATTTGGGCTTTGGGATTGTAAAGGTTAGGGCTTAGGAGGCATGATGTCCGAAGAAACAACTAGATGCATCTGCTGTCGGACTCCTTGCCAAGACACGAGCATGTACATCAACATGCAATCCACGTGCAGGGAAGCTTTAAGCTTGCCCCACATGCTATAAACAGTTGTTGGTTTCTTTGGCGGAAATACTTCAAGAAGTCAAAAGGCTGAACATGAAACCCTCGAAGGTTAAATGGTTCACAATCACATAACATCTTGCCGAACAGGATGCGGACATGATACATGTCTAACCTCATGCACAATGACACGTCGATCAATAAGATCTTCGTTGAAGAGCTGACCACGGGAATGGTTTGGCGAAGCTGCGAACTTGGAGCGTGGCCTGCGTGTTTGGGGCTTATCGGTGCGATCTGTCGCTTTTAAGCTGTAGCTCAGTGACCTCCGCATTGAGCCTGCCCACCAAACCCAGATGAAACTTGTAAGTCTCTGCAAAAGACCATAGTTGCACATTAATGGCGCAAACACGGGTGATATCGGCCTAGCAGCAGCACACTGCCTGTCTAGGTCTTACCGTGGGGGCCAGTCAGATATATAGTTAACTATTAATGCCATCATTATCATTATTACTACGATATCAGGATTCATATAGAGAAGCCAAACGACCCAGGGTGTCTTAATCAGGCTCTTACTCTTACAATCCGACACAGTTCACCCGGCATGCGGGCGCCAACAAAATGCTGACTCTGTTTGCTGACTTCTTGAAGTGGAAAATGCTTTTTAGAAGCCGCTCGCTGCCAAGGTCGCGTCAATGATGGAGTTAAACGTGGGACCTGGATTCGAGTTTAACTTGCGAGATGGTGATCGTTGTTGTCACGGGCCCATGACGTAGACCAGAAAGGATCAGTGAAACATAGAACAAGACCAGCTACAAGACCCAAGCCTAAACCCTGTAAAGCCCTCAACACCCCCAAAATCCCCCAACTCGTAGTGAAGTAAGACGCAACCATAGAGCAAAATCTGCCTGATCAATGAACCCAGAAATAAACCTGTCAGCCGAAGCACGTGTTTTGAGCCCTTACTGGCTCCAAACAAAACCTGAACGGTAACTTAAGCCCAACAAGGAGACTGCATGAGCCGAGCTGCTTGGTCGCATCGCCTGCGACGTGAGGAAGGGGTCGGGGAAGTAGTAGCCACCTGGGTCGGATGTCAGCCCTCGGCCCAAAACGCTACAAACAACCCCCCTTAGAGTTTAGGGCTTGGGGGGTTTCTAGTTTGAGCCCTCAGGGGCGTCATGGCTTAATCTGTAGTGGCTTGCGGGTCAAAGAAAGGGGTATAGTCCGTAGAGGTTTAGCGCATTGCATTGGGATTCGGAGTTTTGGGGTCAGGGTACTGGACAACGACGTCAGAATCCAAGGTCTCGCTTGGGAGACAGGGGCAGTCCTCGCAGTATTCAGTAGGACCAAGAGAATACTTGGAGGGGCAGGGGACTTAGTAAGTCGTTCATAAGTAGGGTTATAATTGAGTAACTCCATTTAGGGTACTTATAACTCTACTTATAACCTACTCACTAAGTCCCCTGCCCTTCCAAGTAGCTCGTATATTCGTGGAAGCCCCTGTTGAGGTGTCGCAGTCGTACAACCGATGCGTGTACATAGATCCTTCATCTGCAGCCAAGCAGCCAAGGTCCTTGACAAACGTTTGGCTGAGGAGACTCGGGATGTTAATGTCTCAGGGCTTAAGGGGTTCAATTGGAGCTCGCGGCAAGGTCCCTTGTTTACGGCTTCTTCAGCTTATAAGCCTGTAGATTTAGAAGGGCTGCAAAGGGCGTTCAAATGTTTCTTTAGCTGTACGAAAGGTTTTATATAAATCTTTAC